GCCACAGGGGAGGCCTCGGCGAGTACCTGTCTGAACGAGGTAGGTGCAGGGAGGATGGACAGCACCGCGCGAGAGCTGACGCGGTCCTGACCCCTGCCCCGGAACCTGCTGCTGCCTCAGCTGCTGTTGTGGCTGCTGCGAGAGGAGTGGCTGCTGCTGCTGCTGCTGTCGCTGAGTCAGGTACCAAGCCGCCACCCCAGCAAATGCAGCAGGCAGACCAGCAGGTGCCTGAGGAACCCGAGGGTCACCTCCACCAATCGTAGCAGGGGAGTCACTAGCCGCTGCAACAGGCGGTCCTCCACCTCTGGCACTCCCGCCACCGCCGCTCGCCACGCCACCTCCGCCGCCTCCGCCGCCTCTGCCGCCTCCGCCCGCACCCTGACCGCCCCTCCTGCCACTCCTACCTCTAGGCCGTGTAGAAGTTGTAACAGCAGTTGCGGTCACGTTAGTAGCGGCAGTGGCGAGGGAGGTAGTAAAGGTGGGCAGCTGAGGGACAGTGCACCCGTGAAACAGTGGAGGGGGCACAGCACCAGAGGCGGAGGCTACCGAGCGGAGGTTGCTCTCGACGTCCTTGAGCGCAGACTCAAGGACCTCGATAGTGAGCTCGCTAGGGTGCTTCAGAAGAAGCGCGTCACGAACGGAGGCAAGGCGGTCAGGGAGGCTAGTGGCGATAAAATAGATAGTAATCGCCATGGGGGGAGGGAGCAGTGCAAGCTGTGCGTCAGTGCAGGCAGCGCGGTAGCTAGAATCAAGTCAGCAGAGCGCTCAATCGAGGCGAGGTCAGGAAACAGGAACGGGAGGAACAGTCGACCAAGAGAGACAGTGGTGGGAGTAGCGTAGCGGGCCTTGATCGCAATCAAGAACTCACGAGCAGTGCGAACCTGAGTGAAGTGGGTCTCCTCAGACTCAGGGAGGAGGCTGCTGAGGGCGATGCAGCACACTGGCGTGCATAACGGTCTCTGGCTGCATCGTCGGGGTCAGTGCCTAAAGGCGTAGGGTCGTTGGGCGCAGGAAGGTCATCGGAAGCGTGCGCCCACAGAGACTCGCCTACCTGGACCTAACTCTCGATGAGGCGTTGCACACGCAGGAGCCAGACAGAGAACTTGAGTGGCCTACCCTCGGCGTCAAAGCGCAGGACCCTAGGGGTCGCCATAGCTGTAGCGAACAGGTGGGAATTGGAACTACCGAAACCCTAAATACCAAGAGGGGCTGAGTAGGGCATGACGGGCAGTGCATAAAGCCTAGGGCGCGACGGGACGGTAGCGGTCGGAACTACCGCTGCTGAAACCCTAAACGCCTAGAGTAGGGCGCCACTGGCAGATGGTGAGGCTCAGGGCGCTTCGGGACACACGATAGAACGCGACACGACGCAAGGTAGGGCGCAACACGACACACGGTAGGGCGCAACGCGACGGGCAAAGACAGCGCGACTCGACGGGACGGGACGGGCAGCACGGCGCGATAGGATGAGACGTATGCGGAGCGACGGGACGGCAGGGACGGGCGCGATGCGACGGGCAGGGGACGAAAATGCGACGGGCTGAGGACGGGACGGGCAGGGGACGCGACGGGCAGGGGACGGGACGCGACGGGCAGGGGACGGGACGGGCAGGGGACGGAACGCGACGGGCAGGTGACGGGATGGGCAGGGGACGCGACGCGACGGGCAGGGGACGGGACGAGCAGGGGACGCGACGCGACGGGCAGGGGACGGAACGGGCAGGGGACTCGGCGCGACGGGCAGGGGACGGGACGGGCAGGGGACGGGACGGGCTGGGGACGCGACGCGACGGGCAGGGGATTGGACGGGCTGGGGACGCGATGCGACGGGCAGGGGACGGGACGACGGGCAGGGAACAGGGCTGATTTTATCAGGGTAATTACCCTGATTTCAGGGTGATTTCGAACTTGTCACCTTGTGGTCCCTGCAATTTCAGAATTTATTACTTGTGAACACTGATCCATTCAGAATAGTGCTTTAGCAGGCCCTGAAATTTTGTATACACGCTCAGAGTAGTGTTCTTATGGACTCTGTCATTACAGAGTACGAGCTCTGTAGACCCCGAATGAGACGTTATCGAGAGGAAGTTTCTCGGAAGTTTTCTTTCGATAACCCCGCCTTCGGATTGATCGCATCGCAGCACAAGTATCCCCCATGTGCGTAATCCCCCCCCCCCCACTTTATCGGGACGAAGTTTCTTAGAAATTTCGTCCTAACACCCACCATCGAGATTGGGCGAATCTGCAATGTCAGATATTTGTTGTTGTGATTGGTCGAAATAGTTGTGCTCTGACAACGGAAATATGTTGTATCAAGGCCATTTCACGAGAGAATTGCTTTAGAACCCTATCTCGTGATTCGTTCTTGCCCACGTAGCTACGAATTGCTCGCGTGGCCATCAAATTCAGTGCTAATTGCTCGAATGGCCACGCCAGGGGATTCCCGCTGGCTTTTTTTTTTTCCGACGCATTACTCTACAAGGGTTTGTAACCTCGAAATTCCTCATTCGTGCGTGTCAGAATGCTATTATTGTCTAGCCTGCAGTGGGGTACTCTATAGCGAGTACAGCCCAATCTAGGGTTTGCTATTTGTATCCCCATTCTTACTAGTGCAACTCCTCTTTGCCTTCATTCTCTCTTGCCTAGCTAGGTCAACCCTAGCTATGGCTCCTCAGTATACCTAGCTTGTTTCGACATGCTATCAGAGCAGGTCGACCCCCTTGGGTCGATCCTGTGGGTGGGCCCACCACCTAACTGCTTCCGCTGCTGTTATGCTTCTCGCGCGCCTCGGGCGTGCGTCGTCTTCTTCCTGCCGTGCGCTCGGGGCGCGCGGCGGTTTTCTGCCCGCCGTGCGCCCCGAGGCGCACGGCGGTTTCCTACCGTGGGGGACCCCCGCGCGCCCCCGATTTCCCGTCGCCCGCGGCCCCCCGTTCCCGTCGCCCGCGGCCCCCCCGTTCCCGTCGCCCGCGGCCCCCCGTTCCCGTCGCCCGCGGCCCCCCGTTCCCGTCGCCCGCGGCCCCCCGTTCCCGTCGCCCGCGGCCCCCCGTTCCCGTCGCCCGCGGCCCCCGATTTCCCGTCGCGCCGCCCTGGGGAACCGTGCGCGACCCCCCGCTGCCCCTTCGCGGCGCCCTAAGGAGCCGCGCGCGGCCCCTCGCTGCCCCGTGGTGGCGTCCTGGGGGTCGCGCACCGTCCCCCTCGCCGTCCCCCGCGCTCCTTCCCCCGTTCCGCCCGTTTTAGGGTTTGGGGGTGAGGAGTGTGGGGGTGGCGGCTATGGGGGTGTCGGTTGTGAGCCCCGTCCCCTCCTCCTCCTCCTCCTTCGTCTCCCGCTGCTGCAGCTGCCGCTCAGGGGGGTGGTTGTGTGGGGAGCCGAAGGAGTGGTGCTAGGGGGGTGAAGGGTGAGTGAAGCTAGGGGCGCAGCAGGGGGTGTGTGTCGAGGGGTGTGGGACTGTTGGGGGAGGTTGAGCGGAGGTTGCCGTCGTGTCGTACGCAGCGCCTGTACTCCGGGGCACTCATTCCCGGTAGCTCAGAGAGCCGGTTGCGCCGTCGCCTGTGGGTCCGTTGCTCCTGCCGCGCGTATTAGCCGCGGAGCCTGTTACTCCTGTACTCCGGGGCACTCATTCCCGGTAGCCACTGTGTCGCACCAGAGCCGTCTGTTGCCCGTGTGTCTGCAGCTTCAGTCGTCGCCTCCACTCTTCTCTCCTCTCGCCAGCCCTCCTCCTCCTCGCTTGCCCTCTGTGACTGCCTCTAGCTTTGCTCATAACTGTGAACTTTAAACTATTGCTTCTTGAACTTGTGCTCAGAATGTGTGGTGACATTGTGATCCACCCTGAGCTTGTACTGCTTTGCTTGCTCTGCTGATTACACCCCACTTTGGCTATGGGGGTGTGTCAGAATGCTATTATTGTCTAGCCTGCAGTGGGGTACTCTATAGCGAGTACAGCCCAATCTAGGGTTTGCTATTTGTACTCAACTGCCTGCTAGTTCAAACCTCTCTTTCTGTTCCTAACTTCTTCCAGTCCGTTGATTCTGACAGTGCGAGTGGCATCCCGAGGTAGTGTTTCGTACTATTCCCCAACCGAAAATTTCGCCAGGGTCACAGACGCGAACGTGGCCCGCCCACTGTACAAGAAACCGGCCAACAATACATGTGCGCTCACTTTCAGCCAAATGCGCAACCAATGAGCGTGCGGCCAAGGTGGAGCTGAGAGCGAGTGACCAGTAGGCAGAGGAGTGGACTGTGGTGAGGAGAACTGGAAGCCAAAGCGCTGAAGGACCTGCTGCACCATGCGTGACTGAGTCAGGGTGATGGTGCGGCGTGCTCTGTCCCGGGTGATCTGCAAGCCAAGGTAGCTGCGCAGCTCACCCAAGTCTGTGCACGTGTGTCTCTTTTGCAGCTCCGACTTCACAAGGGCCAGTGCCTCAGTGTCAGCAGTGGCAAAGACCGAGTCGTCGACGTACACGAGGATGTAGAACGGCGGCAGCGAAGTGTTGGTGCGCAGAAACAGCGACGGGTCAGCAGTCGAAGGAGCAAACCTGAGAGACGCAAGCGTCGACCTCAGAGTGTTGTGCCACTCACGAGGCGCCTGGCAGAGACCGTAGACTCGCCACCGGAAGCTCCACTGGGTACCAACAGGGAACGACCTAGTGAAGCCAGGTGGATGGCGCAACAGATCTCCTCATGCAGGCTGCCCTGTAAGAAGGCTGTGCTAAAGTCAAGAGAGTGAAGATCGTAGTCACGCTGAGCAGCAACGTGCAGCAGCACCCAAAGAGTGGTCATCTTCAGGGTAGGGGAGAAGGTCTGGAAGAAATCAACTCCCTGCCGCTGACTGAAGCCTGGAGCAAACGTAACGAGCCTTGAAGATTGGCGGAGAACCCGGCGGCCGCTTCACCCTGAAAATCCACATGCCATCGACTATGTTCGCCCCAGGAGGGGAAACCTCGTCGACGTAGGTGCCTGTGGACTTCCAGGATGCCATCTCTGCGTTCATGGCTGTCTGCCACTAAGAGGAGTAGGGACCCTCTATCGCCTCTGCGTAAGAGCGCGGGGTCGGGATGTCTAGTGCATCCGGGTCTCCCTCAGGTGCAAGCAGAGAGGCCACGAGGTGAGGTACAGCTGCCGCAAGACACTCAAAGTCCTCGTGCCTGTCCTCAAGGACGTCCGTGCCAAGAGCACACTCACCCTCGACGGACGGAGGACAGACAGACTCAGACTCAGAAACAAGACTGGCGGCGTTGTCTAGACGAGACGCAGCAGCAAAGTCCACAAGCTCAGCAACTAAGGCAGACGCAGCAGTAGACTCAAACGACGAGTCGGTAACGACAGTAGCGAGGAGAGGCGTGAAAGTGGGACTGGCTACACGAACCAAGTCAGACTCAGGGTCTAGAACGTCAGGAAGAGAGGATACAGGAGGATACGGCAGAGGGACGCGCTGTGGAACAGAGGAAGGACGAAGTGCCATAGTGTGAGTGCCTGGCACAGGAGGAGGACGCGGACACGGGACACGACGAGCACGGCGAGCAGTGCAAACAGGGGAGGCAGGACGAGACGCAGGCTCACGACGCTCTGTAAGAGAGACTGGCTGCTCAGTGTAACGAGGTGGGGTAGGCAGTGGTGAGTCAGGAGGAAGGGCAGTTGACAAAGGAAGACTAAGAACCTGACGGAGCACCGAGTCGGGCGGGAGCTCGGACAGCTGCGGCGGCGGCAAGAAAAACGGTCGCTGCTCCCAGCACCAGTACCTCTAGCTCTAGCGCCTCCAACGCCTCCAATGCTAGCGCCTCCAGCTCCAGTGTCTCCAGGTACAGCGGCTCCAGCTCCAGCGCCTCCAGCGCCAGCGCCTCCAGCTCCACTGGCTCCAGCTTCAGCGCCTCCAGCTCCAGCGCCTCCAGCTCTAGCGCCTCCAGCTCCAGTACCTCCAGCTCCAGTACCTCCAGCTCCAGCGGCGCGACTCCGAAGGCGTGCGCGCCGGGCAAACCACTCGCGCAAGTGCTGGGGTGAGAGAGGCTCTCGCTGACCAGACCGCTGCGGCGAGGCACTCTGAGAACCTCCAGCAGACGCAGTACCACCAAGGACAGGACCCCTAGACTCAGCACCAGCAAGCTCCGCACCCCCCAAACGCAGCACTCCTAGGCTCAGCACCCTCAGGCTCTGCACCCCCAGGCTCAGCACCCCCAGGCTCCGTACCCCCAGGCTCCGCACCCGCAGGCCCACCACCCCCAGGCTCCACGCGCTCAGGCTCAGCACCCCCAGACGCAGCACCCTCACCCCCAGCAACACCAGAGTCACCAGTGACCTCTACAGGCTCAGCTAAGGGAAGTGGATCTACCTAAGAGACACGAGAAGGAGCAGGACCCTGAGGGGGGAGGGGGTCTACCGGAGGGGGGCCTGGAGCGAGGAAGAGTGGCGGAGGGGGTGGAGGGGCAGTGCGGTGGGGAAAGAGACGGTAAAAGGGAATCGACTCGTCAAACGTGACGTCCTGAGAGGGGAAGACTCAGTGCGAGGTGGGGTGGTAAAACTGCCAGCCATGCGCGTCAGGGGGAAAACCATGGAAGACGCAGGGGACGGCGCGAGAGCAGAGCTTCTCCGCGGTGGTATCGCGAACAAAGGCACGAGAACCCCAGACCCGGAACCGCGACGCATCGCCAACCTTCCCCGTCCAACGCAGTATAAGCGAGGTCTCCGGCAAGGAGTCACGGGGCCAGAGGTTGAGCTGATGTGCAGCGTACCGGGTTGCAAACGGCCACAGAAATTGGGGAGCAGCCGCATGGATCATGGAGGTACGAGCGACCTCCATGACTAAGCCAATGCGGCGCTCAGCAATCCCATTCTGCTGCGGGGAGGCCGGAAGCGTGAACGACTGGAGGATGCCTTCCCCTTGACAAAAGTCCTGTAAGAGGTCGGAGGAGAACTCACCACCTCTGTCAGAGTGCAGACGCAGGACAGGAAAGTCCGTGCGGAACCGCTCGCGGAGCTGGAGACGAACAGCGCGGATCCAAGGGATCAGGACAGCAGGGACCTCACCCTTGCTGCGCAAGGGGAAGACCGTGGTGTAACGCGAGTAGTTGTTAAGAAACAGCAGAAAGTACCACTCGCGGCCCTGTCCACTGACGCGGGCTGGGCCCCACACGTCCATGTGGAGAGTCTGCAGGGGAGCAGTCGTCGGGGGAAACGAGGAGGAGTGAGGAGCGGCGCGCTGCCGCCCCTCAACGCAAGGAATGCAGGGCGGGGCAGGCGAGGGTGGGAGGGGAGGCAGAGACCTGGGAAGGCGAGAGACAAGGAGGCGGGAGTGCATGCCACGGAGGCGTGGCAGGGAGGGGTGACCAAGGCGGTGGTGCCAGAGGAGAGTCTGGTGCGACAGGAGGCGACACTCGCAGGGGGCTGCTACCTGACCTTACGCGGACACCTGAGCAAGCGCAGCGACCTGAGGCGGCGCAGTAGTCAGTGTGTACAGACTCGACCCAGGCCGACGGGTGAACGTGGCCAGGTGACGGCCAGTCCGGGAGCACGTACAGATCGCCACACGCTGCCATCCAGGTGTAAAGGTATCAATCCCCGCATCCTAGAGGACTGCGGTGCTCACCAAGTTCGTCAAGAACGAGGGGAGGTGGAGACCTGACAGTGAACCGGACGGAACCGCCGGACACGGGAGCACAGTGGAGGAATGTGTAAGAACCGGAACCCAGAGGGATCAGCCAGGGAAACTGCAACGGGTCTAGCGAATAATGTGACAGTGGTACTGTCGCGAAAGAAACAGCGGGAAGCACCTGAGTCAAGCGTGAAAGTGTGCAAGGCCTCAGCAGGCGCAGTACCAGAGAGAGCAGACTCACTAGCACCTAGAGCAGCAGCCTCTATACCTGGGTCAGGCGGCACACACAAGTAACAGTCACCCTCAGCACTAACAGTCATTAGCATACATGGCAGCAAGAATAGCATCATAGTCAAGAGCAAAGATATCAACACCAGTCTTAAGCAGCTCTGCCCAGCGGGGCATCTCAGCCTCATCACCGTACTCAGCGCGCCAAGCGTCGTCTAGGCGAGAGAAACAGCGATTCTAGGTGTGAAACTTCCCACACGTCTGACCAGCGCAGTCCCCTGTGCGAATGACGTTTGGGCAGCGAGCACTACTCCTAGATGCCAAACGCTGAGCGTACCACTGCTGAAGCTGCTGGGGCGTGAGGGTCTCACCCTGACGATGCTGCTGCTGCCGCTGACCGGCTCCAGCCCGACCACCACCACCGCCGCCGCCACCACCCCCTCCGCCGCCACTACCGCCGCCACCACTCTCACTGCCGCCGCGACCACCACCACCACCTCCAGCACCGCCGCCACCGACTCCACAACTCCCGCCACCACTCCCACCGCCACCGCCGCCACCGCCACCGCCGCCACCGCCTCCACCACCACCGCTCTTGCCTCCCTTGCCCTTGCCGCTGCGGCGCTTCCCACTAGGAGCAGAAGCAGCACCGACCTCCTCAGCACCAAGGAAGTCGACAGCAGCAGCAGAAGCAACAGAGGGGGCAAGGGGGGAGGGGGAGCACCCCTCAAAGAAGGGCGTGCGAGGAGTGCCACGAGTAGCACCTACAGCGACTGCACTAGTCTCAGCTGCAAGGAGGTGCTCCTCGAGCAGGTCGATAGTGATCTTGGTGGGGTTAAGGGCGAGAAAGTGGTCCCTGACTGCGCGAAGAGAGTCAGGGAGGCGGGTGACTATAAATTAGAGAGTTATGTAAATCGGGGGCTCGTTCTTGGGGACGAACTCGGCTGGGAGGGCGGCACGGTAGCGCGTGTCACTAGTGCGAAGGTGGGTAATGAGGTCCGCTACGGTGGCAAAGGAGTACAGCTCGGGAAACAGGTAGGGCAGTATAAGGCGGCCGAGAGCTGCAGTGGCAGGGGAAGAGTAGCGAGCGACTACAGCGTCGTACAGGGCTTTGGCAGTTTTGGGTTGGTCAAAATGAGCGCGTTCAGATATCGGCAGGTGGTTGCGGACGGCTAGGCGAGCGGCAGCGTCACGAGTAAGCCACTTGGAGCGAGTCGTACTATCAGCAGTGTCGGGAGGGGCAGGACAGGCCCCAGAGGTGAGGTCAAACAGTGAGACATCGTCTTTCGAATAGCTCAACACGTACAGCAGTAGGTCCTGAAGCCAAGTCTCAAACTTAATCGGACGGCGCTCAGGATCGAACTCTAGGACGCTGAGAGAGGCCATAACATAGCAGTGCGGGGTGGCGCGTAAGGCAGGGCAGGGCCAGGGCGCGCAAGGAGGGCACGGCCGGGCGCATGGGCAGGGCAGAGGCAACGCGCGGGGCTGCAGAGGCAGCGGGCAGGCTGTAGAGGCGGCGCACGGGGCTGCAAGGGCAGCCAAGGGCTGCAGGGGGCAGCGCGAGGGCTGCAGGAGTGGCGCGCGGGGCTGTAGAGGCAGCGCACGGGCTGCAGAGGCAGCGCAAGGGCTGCAGGGGCGGCGTGCGGGGTGGCAGAGGCAGCGCGCGGGCGGCAGGGGCAGCGCGCGGGCTGCAGAGGCGGCGCGCGGGGCTGCTGAGGCAGCGCGAGGGCTGCAGGGGCGGCGCGCGGGGCGGCAGAGGCAGCGCACGGGCGGCAGGGGCAGTGCGCGGGGCGGCAGAGGCAGCGCGCGGGGCGGTAGAGGCAGCGCGCGGGCTGCAGAGGCCGCGCGCGGGGCTGCAGAGGCAGCGAGAGGGCTGTAGTGGCAGCGCGCGGGGCTGCAGGGGCAGCACGCGGGGCTGGAGGGGCAGTGCGTGGGCGGGAAAGGGGGCGCGCGGGGCTGCAGGCAGGCGGCACGCGAGGGCGGCACAGGGCAGGGCAGTGCGTGGGGTAGCGCGGTAACCGCAGTCGGTCACTACGGTGAGCCAAAAAAAAAAAAAGGAACGGTCCTACGGACCTACTGCTCTGAAACCATGTTGAAACTAACTAACAGGAATGAATGATGCATTGAAGAGAAATGTGAGTACAAGTACTAACCCTAATCTGGGTTGTACCCTTTATGGTCTACCCCACTATAGCCTACATACAACAAGCATCATTATAGTTTGACATGATACTTAAGACAATCAGACAAAATTTATGATAACGACGTCCCCCCATTGTACCCTTATTGTCAACTCACAGAACATCTTTTCAAGTAACTGAACTACTCTTAAAACCGGAGTGCACATTCACCTGGGTGGGCATCAGGGGTTATCTCTTGATCCTATATTACAGCCAAATTTGGCCTAAACCTCTGAATTTACTATTCCCTGAATGGTGCTGTTCGCCAGCACCTGTGAAGAAAAAAAACACGGGATAACGACGGGATCAGGAAGGTGGGTCTCGCCTTCCTGATCCCGTCAGTTAGGGTTCGTTTACCTCCGTCAGCCTGGTCAGCCCGTAAAAAAGGTGCTGAGGATGGCATCGGCATCGCGACCGCATCCAGAAACGGGGGCGGAACCCTCTTCCGAGGTTCGCGCGCCCGAAAGGCAAAAATTCGCAACCGCATCGGGAAGGTCCATCCCCACCTTCCCCCCAATGGCGCGAAAGTTTAGCCTCACTGACCCTTGTGCTGCCCGCTGACCAAAAATTGCGCAACGTGGGTAAAAAACGCAAATAAAACACACCCCACTCAAACACAACCCCCACTCCAATTTCAACCAAGTTATGTGCGGGGGGCATTTCGAAGGTGTGTTTGGGAGGGAATAATGAGGGGTATACGAAGCTCCCTTTGTCAAACTGCAGGCTTGTTCAAGGGTTACCTTCTGAACAGCAATGCGTCGGCTGTGCCACCGCTGTGCTTTGAAAAACGCAGCATGGCGATGGCATGGCTAGGGGATGGTGTTTTGCCTGGGGACGAAGTTTCGTCCCCGCTTCCATATGCCGTCGAACCGTTATATTTGGTGGGCAAAAGTGGGCGTTCGCCAGACGCCCACTTTGTTTGTTGGTTTGGACGGTAGGTGAGGCTCGGCACTTTTTTCACGGGCTGACCAGGCTGACGGAGGTTAACGAACTCTAACTGACGGGATCAGGAAGGCGAGACCCAAATTCCTGATCCCGTCGTTATCCCGTGTTTTTTTGCTATAATGGTGCTGGCGAACAGCCCCAATGTGTACCCCGGTTTGATCGCACACGAGAACCCCCGCTCGTCGCACGTGGGAGGTTCCCTCCCGTCGCACACTGCCTCCCGCATCTCCGCCTCACCCATCTCCGCCTCACCGCATCTCCTCCTCACCCCCTTTCGTCCTCACCCCAGCTCCGTCCGCGCGGACTCCCTCCCGTCGCACGCGACAAACTTTCCTTCCGCCATCCACGCCCTCTCCCTCCCGCCGCGTTTTCTCACTACCCTCCTGTCGCCACGGTCCCCTCCGCCGCACACGCTCAATCCCCTTGAGGGGAGACCATTACTCACCCCCCTCGCTCGGCCACGTGATTCCCCTCTCGTAGGCCGCGCTCACTCCTCCCCGCCGCGCACGCTCCCCCCACATACGTCGCCCACGCTCACTGCCCATACTCCACACACGCTCACTTCCCTCCGTCGCCCACGCTCACACCAACCACGCATATCAAGTGAACACAATTTAGGGACGATCGAATTGTAGGTGCAGCGCGTATACGCAATCGAAGGGAATCGCATGAGCTGACTGCGAGTGTGAAGCACGTAGAATATGGTCGGCACAGGAGATATTAGCGCTTTGCCCACCTCGCTTCCCCCGCCCGTCGACCTCGCTTTCCCTCTCCCGTCGCCCTCGCTTTCCCCCTCCCGTCGACCTCGCTTTCCCCCTCCCGTCGCCCTCGCTTCCCCCCTCCCGTCGACCTCCCCTTCTCTACCCTTCCCAGTGCCCGTGTTTACCACCTCCTCCATTTCCCCACCCTCACTCTCACCCTCGTCCTCTCATGCGAACAAACTACTCCGCTTTTCTTTCTTCCTTCCTTCCTCCCATCCTACCAGCCTCCGAGCCTAATCAACTCCCTTTTTACCCTCCCATTCCTCCCTTTCACCTTCCCATTTGTTCATTTCACCTTCTTAGAACTGTTGTCCCTTCAATCGCCGCTGCTTCCTTTTTGCGGAGGCCTCTTTCCCCCTTCTCACTCTCTCCCTCCCTCCTCACTCCGTTTCCCCCTGCTCACTCTTTTCCCCTGCTCACTCTTTTCCCCTGCTCACTCTTTCCCCCTGCTCACTCTTTTCCCCTGCTCACTCTTTTCCCCTGCTCACTCTTTTCCCCTGCTCACTCTTTTCCCCTGCTCACTCTTTTCCCCCCTCCCCAATCTGTTTCCCCCTTGCTCACTTTCTTCCCCCCTGCTCGCTCTCTTCCCCCTTACTCACTATGCTTCCCCCTGCTCACTCTTTTCCCCCCCCTCACTCTGTTTCCTCCTTGCTCTCTCTTTTTCCCCCTGCTCACTCTCTTCCCCCCTTCTCACTCTCTCCCCCCTTCCTCACTCTGTTTCCCCCTGCTCACCCTCTCCTCCTCACTCTATTCCCCGCTGCTCTATTACCCCTGCTCTATCCCCCCATGCTCTATTCCCCCCATGCTCTATTCCCCCCCTGCTCTATCCCCCCATGCTCTATTCCCCCCTGCTCTATTCAACCCTGCTCTATTCCCCCCTGCTATATGCTCTGTTCCCCCCTGCTCTATTCCCCCCTGCTCTATTCCCCCCTGCTCTTTTCCCCCCTGCTCTATTCCCCCTGCTCTATTCCCCCCTGCTCTATTCCCCTCTGCTCTATTCCCCCCTGCTCTATTCCCCCCTGCTCTATTCCCCCCTACTCTATTTCCCCCTGCTCTAATCCCCCCTGCTCTATTTCCCCTGCTCTATCCCCCCCTGCTCTATTCCCCCTGCTCTATTCCCCCCTGCTATATTCCCCCCTGCTATATGCTCTGTTCCCCCCTGCTCTATTCTCCCCTGCTCTATTCCCCCCTGCTCTATTCCCCCCTGCTCTGTTCCCCCCTGCCCTCTTCCCCCCTGCTCTAATCCCCCCTGCTCTTTTTCCCCCAGCTCTATTCCCCCCTGCTCTTTTCCCCCCTGCTCTCTTCCCCCCTGCTCTCTTCCCCCCTGCTCTATCCCCCCCTGCTCTATTCCCCCTTGCTCTCTCTCTTCTCACCTCCTCAGGTTGTTTCCCCCTAGCTCACTCGGTTTTCCCATTGCTCACTCTCTTTCCCCATTGCTCATTCTCTTCCCCCCTGCTCATTCGTTTTCCCATTGCTCATTCTCTTTCCCCCTGCTCACTCGGTTTTCCCATTGCTCATTCTCATTCCCCCTGCTCACTCGGTTTTCCCATTGCTCATTCTCTTCCCCCCTGCTCACTCTCTTTCCCCATTGCTCATTCTCTTCCCCGCTGCTCATTTTCTTTCCCCTTGCTCATTCTGTTTCCCCCTGCTCATTCTGTTCCCCCCCTGTTCACTCCCTTCCCCCATGCCCACCCTCTTTCCCCCTGCTCACTCCCTCTCCCCCCTTCTCACTCTCTTCCCCCCTCCTCACTCTCTTTCCCCCCTGCTCACTGTCCCCCCTGCACTCTGTTTTTTCCTGCTCATTCTGTACAGGTGCCCAGCACCAGGTGTCAGGAGGGACCCACAAGTCTTGCTTTTTTGCTGCTGTGTATGCAGACAAGAGTGGGAAAAGACATATTCATGAGTAACTTGGTTCTTTTTGTCAAATGTTGTAGCCTATAGTGAGGTTTGTCTTAGGGGGTACAAAACTTAGGGTTAGCTATATGTACCCCAACCAACATCAATGCATCATCCATTCTTCATTTTGACATGGTATCAGTTAGGTTAGGATCCTGTGGGATCCCGTTCCGCCGTTCTCCGTTCGTACCACCCGAGCCTGATCCTAGCTCTCGTTCGTCTCCTTCTCGTTGTTACCGAGCCTAGCGCCGAGCCACGCTCTCGTTCGTATCGTTCCAGCTGTTACCGAGCCTAGCATCGAGCCACGCTCTCGTTCGTAGCGTAGCCCGCCCCCCCGTCGCGTCGCCTTCCCCCCCCACTCGAGTCGCGCCCGTCCCTTTCCCCCTGTCGCGTCGCGCTCCCCCCGTCGCGTCGCGTCCGCTCCTTCCCCCCGTCGCGTCGCCTTCCCCCTGTCCCGTCGCGCCCCCCCTTTCCCCCCGTCGCGTCGCCCTCCCCCTGTCCCGTCGCGCCCGCCCCTTTCCCCCCGTCGCGTCGCCCTCCCCCTGTCCCGTCGCTCCCGCCCTCTCCCCCCGTCGCGTCGCCCGTCCCCGCAGCGCCCGCCACT